ATACAAAATATATTACATACTTACATATAGATACATATAAATTATTTACCAAAATCATTGAATTTTTCAACCAATTTGGAGTAAATGGAATAAATGTGCCTAGAACGATTAATTGTCTGTTGATCTCAATGCTTTTACGAACTGGTGATAGAATTAAATGTATTGAAGTTAAAGAATGGCTCACTTCTTTTTATAGTAAAGAGTTAAGACATTCTTTAGGAGAAACGCGTAAATTTATAATAAATTTATTATCGAAATATCTTTATAAAAACACAAACCTGGCATATTTATCTTTTAATCTTAACCTTTCTTCTGAAGAAGCAATTTTATTAGCGAATGCCCTTTGCAAGAATACTACTTTAACTAGTTTAAAGCTCATCGACTATAGATTTCGCTATGTAAATATGCTACCATTGATACTAGCTCTCTGTAAAAATACTACTTTAACTTACTTAGAAATTGTAAGATATCGGCTTGATTCTAGAGGAGGAGAAGCATTAACTGATGTTCTTCGCAAAAATTCTACTCTGACTTCTTTAAGAGTAAGTGGTAATAAGCTTGGTCCTGAAGGAGGAAAAGTTTTAGCGAAGACCCTTTTCAAGAACACATCTCTTACTTCCTTGAGTATCTGTAACAATCAGATTGGCTTTGAAGGAGGAAAATCTTTAGCTGATGCCCTTTACGAAAATAATACCTTGACTTCTTTAGATATTAGTTCCAATAATATCGGTGATGAAGGTGGCAAAGCTTTAGCTTATGCTCTTTGCCAAAATAATACATTGGTTTCTTTGAATATTAGGAGCAATCAGATTGGCTTCGAAGGAGGAAAAGCATTATCGGATGTTCTTTGTAAAAATACTACTTTGACTTCTTTAGATATTAGTTGTAATCAGATCGGTGATGAAGGTGGAAAAGCTTTAGCTTATGCTCTTTGCAAAAATAATACATTGATTTCTTTAAATGTTAGAAATAATCAACTTGGTCCTGAAGGAGGAACAGTATTAGCATTGGCTCTTCTCAATAACACATCTCTGGTTTCTTTAAATAGTAATAGTCAGATTGATTTCGAAGGAATAAAAGCATTATCTGATATTCACTGCAAAAACACTTCTTTGACCTCTTTAGATACTAGCTATAGTCAGATCGGTGTTGAAGATGAAAAAGCTTTAGCTGATGCACTTTGTAAAAATAGTACTTTGACTTCTTTAAATATTAGTTATAATCCGATCGGTGATGAAGGAGGAAAAGCTTTAGCTTATGTCCTTTGTAAAAATAATACTTTGACTTCTTTAAATATTAGTTATAATCAGATCGGTATTAAAGGTGGAAAAGCTTTAGCTGATGCCCTTTATAAAAATAATACTTTGACTTCTTTAGATATTAGTTATAATCAGATCGGTGATGAAGGAGGAAAAACTTTAGCTGATGCTCTTTGTAAAAATAATACTTTGACTTCTTTAAATATTAGTTATAATCAGATCGGTATTAAAGGTGGAAAAGCTTTAGCTGATGCCCTTTGTAAAAATAATACTTTGACCTCTTTAGATATTAGTTATAATCAAATCGGTGATGAAGGAGGAAAAGCTTTAGCTGATACCCTTTGTAAAAATAATACCTTCTTTGGTTTTTTTAGATAGTAATAGTCAGATTGGTTTCAAAGGAGTAAAAGCATTATCTGATATTCATTGCAAAAATACTAGTTATAGTCAGATCGGTGTTGAAGATGGAAAATCTTTAGCTAATGCCTTTTGTAAAAATAATACTTTGACTTCTTTAAATATTAGCTATAATCAGATCGGTATTAAAGGTGGAAAAGCTTTAGCTGATGATGCTCTTTGTAGAAATAATATTTTGACTTCTTTAAATATTAGCTATAATCAGATCGGTGATGAAGGAGGAAAAACTTTAGCTGATGCCATTTGTAAAAATAATACTTTGACTTATTAAATATTAGTTATCAGATCGGTGTTGAAGGTGGAAAAGCTTTAGCTGATGCTCTAATACTTTGACTTCTTTAGATATTAGTTATAATAAGATCTGAAAAAGCATCATATGATGTTCTCTACATAAATGTTACTTTGGCTTCTTTGAATATTAGGAATAATCAGATCGATTATCAGAGGCACGTTTAAAGAATATTAATCTAACTTATTTTAATGTTAATGGTAATTGGTTTGTTTAAGAAAAAAGTGCAATCATTTAAAATAATTAGCTTAATTTTTTTTTTTTAAGTAAAAAGTTTATTAAAGCCTTTTTAAGAATATCCTTGTGATATTTTAGACATTGTAATCGTAATAGTAGATGCTTTTTGTAAAAATATTTATTTTTGAATATGAAAAACATTATTATATTTTTATTTTACTTTGCTACTGTTATCTAAATACATGCTATTATCTATTTTAGTTTCACGTTTTGTTAACCAATCTGACTTCACAGACGCAGTATTAACTAATAAAAATTTGAAGATAAATCTTGGTTCCTTGTTTTAAATTCGCTATTTTTTAAACTAATAAGTTATAATAATTTCATCTTTCAGAATATCAAATATAAGTTATTTTTATTACACAATATAAGTTTAATTTAGAAAATGCGACTTTTGTTATCTTAAATACAAATGCAAAGCTTATTGAAATGCAAGGGGAATTTCTACAAATTTTGCAAGATTTTACGAAACTTTGTTATTACCTTTTAAAGCATCATTAAATAGACAGGCGAATCTAGTATATCGAATAATGCGTTTAACTGAAAACTTGTAAGAAACTTCATTTTGTTGGAACAAAAAGCCCACTTTTTGATTAGGCTAACAGAAAAGAGCTAATATATACCCCACCCTCTTCCCCCTCTTGACACCCCACCCCCTTTATACCCCCTTTTACCCCTCTTTACCCCCTCTTTACCCTCCCTTTGCCTCTTTTACTCCAAGAGAGGGGGGTAAAAGAGGCAAAGGTGGTAAAGAGAGGGTATAGGAGGAGTAAAAAGGGGTATAAAGGGGTAGGGGTGTCAAGAGGGGGAAGAGGGTGGGGGCATATATTAGCTCTTTTCTTTTAGCTCCCTTAATATTTTAAAATTGTTTTTTTTTTTATTTACACGGCTGATATCTATGCAAAATAAAGATCAACATGAACAGATGACTGATATGAATATAATATTTTTAAAACGAAGTTAGAATTGATTTGATATTAAATTAACGTATTTTGTTTGCTCTTTTTGGATTTTCTCATTAACTTTAAACCTACAGTATTCTCGAAAAGCGGGCAATGGGCCTATATCGAATTTTGTCCCAAATTAAGCCAAAATTCGAAATAACGCCCGTGCCCGCTATTTCAAGAATTTACGGTACATATCATACAGTATTGAGTAGAAATTGAATTCTCTTAACATTCATATATATTTAAAATTCTATTGCAACTTATGTGATCTAATCTCAAAAGAAGTATAACAAAAATGAGATAGTGTAATGGTAGTATTTGCAAGCTTAAAAATCATCTAATCACATTAGGCCTGATTAGGCTGAATAATGAAATTTATATTATCACTGAATATTCGTTGAATTTAATCGGGGAATACTAATATTTCTGGATATTCAATTCGGTGAAACGAAAGTGTATTCGAATCTTCTGATATTCATCGATCAGATAATAATAGCGTTATAATCAATAAAAATAAACTTGTAAAGTCTATATTTGATTACTTCAGAGTTATTAATGATTAAAAATATCCAGAAAATGAGCTAATCCAGTGTTGGATAAATGAATTCGGATAATGGAATCTGCCTGATGTCCAGTTTCAAAATTGTCCTATCAAAGCAATGGACATTATCATTATTGGTTGATCGCAAGAAATTGACTTCATACTGTACGGTATTAGCGTTAACAAAATAACGCAGTTCAGTATGGTATTGCAGATCCATATAGTACAGGCCGATTTTAAGATCCGATCATACTGATCCAGTATTGCATATATAGTGTTAGTGTTAAAAATTATAGCTAAGCAGTATAGTATGGATCTATACCCGTCCTATTTGCTATAATTTCTAAGCTTACCAGTGTCAATTTTAGATTTCAGAAACGTACTAGATTGGTCATTACATCATAGGACAATTTGAAATGTCCGAAGTCCGGTAAAAAACGCCGGATATATGACTTGCACAACTCTGAACGGATCACAAGTGCAATTCCAATTTTTTTAAAAGCGCCAAATTTTGTGATTTATACTCAAATCTGATTGGCTATTTTGCGTGTAACAAAATTTTGATTGGTTAAAAATACATAAAAAGAATTTTTTATATATTAAACATGATTACATATAAATTTTAGGCTCTAATAACCTTTTAAATTTATAATAAAAATAAAAATCTATTCTAACAGAATTGTAGCTTAGACTAGTGATGCCTGACGAAACTATTTTCGCACAGACGAAATGTATTTGTCTCTGGTTTCGTCTGATGAAACCCAGACAAATGATGAAACTATAGACGAATGACAATACTATAGACGAATTATGAAACTATAGACGAATTATGAAGCTCTAGACGAATGCTGAAACTATTGTCACGGGCTAAAAGGTAGATCGACAAATAGGCGCAGCAAACTTATGACTTCAAGCAGATCGATCATCGGAATTCCAGATCGACTAGTACATGAGGCTTACTGGCCAAATAATGGAAATGATAACCTACGCGAAATCCGAAGAAGAATTCATAAAAGAACAAATGAAGATCTAAAGAGAAGAAAACAAGAATCAATAATAATTAGAAATAGTTAAAATAGAAAATGTTGTAAAGGCAAAGCCTTATTATTTATAATCATGTTGTACTTATCTTTGTAAGCCCCTTTAGTTATAGTGATTCTTCCTTGATCTTTCGTGATGAAAGATCTGATTTATCGGATTTATCCCAAAGCCTCTTGAGATTGTATAGATAGTGAAAGTTATAAAAACCCTGTAATTTCTCTCTTGTAAAGAAGAATCTTATCCTACGGGATTATGATATTCCTAACCTATAACATTGAATAAATCACTTTAATAATATCATTTTTAAAACTAAACTATTGCTAAATCACTATCGTCACGCCTCTGGCGAGTTGCCTTATCACCTAAAATTACACATTTTCGTGTTTATCATAGTAAAAGGATACAATTCACCCCGTAACATTTGGTGGTGACTGTGAGATATGAACTTCATAAATTTAGTTCATCAGTCACTGACGATCTCAATTCTGACTCTCTCGATGACGATTTCGATTCTTATCGTCTTTATTACTCCTCTCTTTACGACTCTGATCCAATCGTCTTTACGGTCTTCGCGATTACACTCCCGATCTATACGAACGATTTTTTAAAAAGAAAGAAAAAGATGTTCATAGTTGAACAAGCGATAATTATGACATTGATCAATTTATTCAACAAAAGTAATTTAAAAAATTTAATTATCTTTTTACAAAAAAGTATACTGCCAAGGTTAAAGTTCTCTGCCTGTAATTCACTTTATGCATGAAAATTGGTTAAGGTGCTCTGCCTGTAAATCGCTAAGTGCGCAAAAATGGGGGTGCCCAGCCCGTCAGACGCGAATCTAGCCTGGTACCAGCGGGGCTAAAGGCTGTAATAGGTACTGCGCGAAATTTGGAAATTTGGATCTTGATAGTATAAATTTTATGTTGAAAGAAAGATTTAAAAAAAAAAAAAAAAAAAAAAATTGATGAATGATCGAATTTGACATGGGAGAATACCAAACGAATTTCTGTAAATAATCTCGAAAACGAAGTCACGTATTTCGCCACGTACGATTTGCTCTAAGAATTTGGACTTATTGGATGTCAAAGTGCTTATCCAAATTACTGGCTGATTTTCCAACAAAGATAAAGCTATCGAAAAAGCTGATGAAGTCGTAAAGCAACAACAAACGGATCAAGCATCAACATATTATTGATGATGGTGTATTTTTGATAATCGAAGAAAAACTTAATGGTGAAGATTCAGTTTATACTTTATCAACAGAAATTCTTACAGAAGAATCGACTCAAGAGATAAGTCGAGGTTTAAAAGTAGTTGAAGAAGCTGGTTATAGCATCTTAGTGAAAGTGGGTGTGCCAGAAATTCCAGCATTGCCGAAATCCAAAACAGAAGATATATCTAGTTCTGTTACTGAAGAACCTGCGGATAATGAATTGAAATCAATAGAATCTGGTCCAAGTGAGAAGACTGTGCAAATGAAAATATACTACCACTACACAACTAACGTCACCGATACAATCAGCATCAAAAACCCAAACATCTTTATAAAATAATTTAGAGATGGACAAGTGGAAATAAAGATATCGACGATTGTATTCAAGAATTTCAACTTAAAGCTGTAAAATATGAAATGTAATAGAATGGATTCTTTTTAACATTCAGAAGATTGCTGAAAGGAAATTTGAATTAGTGTTTTTCATCAACGTGATTAGCAGAAAGGCATGAAGTCAAATATAGTCATGAAGATTTTTATAGCGACAATATATTGCTAAATCAATATATTAATGATGACATTATATCATATATTGCAGACCTAGGATTATCAGGAAAGAAAGATGAATCAGATCTAAAAGATATTATTTATGGAGTTTTACCTTATGTTGCTCCTGAAATATTAAATGAACAATCGTATATAATAGCAGCAGATATTTATAGTTTTGGTGTTGTTATGACTGAAATGTCTACAAAAAGACTACCTTATGATATTGTGATGAAGCGTTGGATTTCATCCTATGATTGATGAAGAAAAATTGAATATTAGAAACAAGTTAGCATATAACAAAAATATGAAGATGCGATGAAGTAAATTCTATTTAATCCATACTAATTTAAAATCAACCAAAACAAGAAAGAATAGGATAAAGCGAACTAAGATCAATATCTAGAGAAAATTGATCACTTAAGATTATAATTCGAATTAGATCACATGATCGATTAAGTATCGTTGCACTTGAAAACCGGGAAAGAAAATCTTAAAGATTTATTGACATAAGCATTTAAAATTATTGTGTCTAAACGAAATAAGATTGGGAAGATGATAATATGAACTTAATCATCTAAGAATCAGTACCAACCCGAATTTAAGACGATAAGAGAATTTAACTCTCTAATATTTGGAATATGTTACACGTAAAGTAAATCGAACCAAACGAACATGAATAAGAATTTATTCATGATGTGAAGAATTGTGGAGTGTTATACCAAATCGGGTATAATAATACAATCGAATTTAAAGATAAGTTAATATTATATTCTATTATATTTTAAAGATAATTTTTAATTTCAAAGATTTAAGCAACGAAAATATTATGTAAAATTACAAAACGCATATACTACTAACTTTAAGTTAGACTATATTAGATTAATTTTAATATACGTAGAGATACGTTGCATTTAAAATAATTCATATTCGTGTACAAATTAAAGAACTATTAGGAACATAGTTGCGAAGATTATTCATTCTTGAAATGATTATGAAGTAATATTTTTATCACTAATGGATTATTATATCAAATCTAATATGAATATATTCAAAAGATAAGCTAAATATTTAGTTAATTTATTATATATTAAGTTTATTTTTAATTTAAAACGTATTTAACCGAAATATTATACAAAAGTAACTAACCTTAAGTTTAGTAAGATTTTTAGATAAAGTGAATAAGCATTCAAATATTTAATATTTATCAAACTATTACGATAAATAGTTTTTAATTTAATTATGTAAAATATAATTCTGGAAGAATTATATAAAGCAAGGGAGTAATATATAAGGATTAATTTTTTATTTTGAAATATTATTATGTTAATACTAATAAGATCTTAGAGATTTGACTTGATAGTCAAAGATTGAAATTTAAATTTCAGTTATGAAATAGAAGAATTAAAAGTTAAAGAACATCAAAATAAAATTAGTAGTATATAAAGATTATAATTTGAATTTTTTTATATAACATTATTTTTACTAATAAGATTTTGAGGATTTAAATTAGTTAGGAGTTTGATTTTAGATACAATTTAAAAGAAGATTTAAAATTAATGAAAAGAAAAATACTAAAAGATAAAAATTTATTATATTTATAACTAGTAATACAAAGAAAAATAAAGAAATAAAGAAATCTAGTCCTTCTACATATAATCTTCATCTATATTTTCCTCTAAATACTGTGTACTACTCTTACCAATTTCATCAACTAACACTATTGGAAAACTACTACTATTCTCTTCACTTGCTGACTCTTCTTCTAACATCACCTCATATTTTCGTAATTCATTATCTAATCAAACTTCATAGTCTTCTTCTTCTTCTTTCTTATATTCTTCTTCTTCTTCTTCACTATATTCTTCGATATCATATCTTTCCCTCATTCTTTGTTTCTCTCTACCTCTTTCTTTTCTCCTATCTATAGTACCTAACACCTCAATCATATCGTTTTTCAATACATTATACTCCAACTCAAATTTCCTCTTTTCCATATCCAACATCTTATATCTTTTTTGTTCATCTTTCAACATCCCTCTTAACACTTCCAATCTAAATTCTTCTGATTCCACTACTTCATCCAACATCTTCTCCAATCTTCTATTCTTCTCTTCCAACCAAAACATCATATTTTTTTCATTTTTCTCCGAAACCTAACCTACCTACTCCACCTATTAAATTTAATTATTTTTAGTATCTTGTTATATTAAATTATAGTATTTAAAAATTTATTATTATTATATTTACCAGTCTTCCTCTACATTCTCTACACTTTCAATGTCTTCAACATCCTCTACTACTTCTTTTTGTTTACCTTTATCTACACTCTTACTATTATATATAAATTATATTAGTTATTATTATTAATTTTTTATTATTTATTTTATTCTTACTTTTGACAGTTGGAATATTGATTATTGTTTCCTTTTTGGCTACGAGACATTTTTAAAATTGGTTTATTAATTTTATTTTTAAGTTTTAATTTTTAGATCAAAAATTATTTTATGAAGACAAAGATAATTGAATATTTAATTTAAAGTTTAGATCACATGAAGACTAATTTTACGATTGAATAATCAAGTTATACAAATTATCTTTATAAGGAGTTAATTTTTGAAAATTGGTAATCATTCTGATATAGACTACTGGTTAGGATATTCACTCTGGCAGCAGAGTAACCTGGGTTCGATACCAGTAAGCGGAGCTATCCTTCCTAGAGTACTGATCTCATATAGGATATGTGATGGCCACTCAGAGGATGAAATATCAGAATGAGGATATTTTTTTACTTTATTTTGTTTATTGTTTTATTATTATTAGTATGTACTTATACTATATTTTTAGTTAGATATTTATGCATGGTATGCATAAAATAGATCTGGGCGAATGTCACAGGCTAAAAGGTAAATCAACAAATAGGCACAGCAAACTTATGACTTCAAGCAGATCGATCATCGGAATTCCAGATCGACTAGTACATGAGGCTTACTGGCTAAATAATGGAAATGATAACCTACATGAAATCCGAAGAAGAATTTATAAAAAAACAAATGAAGATCTAAAGAGAAAAAAACAAGAATCAATAATAATTAGAAATAGTTAAAATAGAAAATGTTGTAAAGGCAAAGCCTTATTATTTATAATTATGTTGTACTTATCTTTGTAAGCCTCTTTAGTTATAGTGATTCTTCTTTGATCTTTCGTGATAAAAGATCTGATTTATCAGATTTATCCCAAAGCCTCTTGAGATTGTATAGATAGTGAAAGTTATAAAAACCTTGTAATCTCTCTATTGTAAAGAAGAATCTTATTCTATGGGATTATGATATTCTTAACCTATAACATTGAATAAATCACTTTGATAATATTATTTTTAAAACTAAACTATTGCTAAATCACCATCGTCATGCCTCTGGTGAGTTGCCTTATCACCTAAAATTACACATTTTCATGTTTATCATAGTAAAAGAATACAATTCACCCTGTAACACTATAGATAAAACTATAGATGAAACTACAGATGATTGATGATTGATGAAACTAGAGATGTGTTTCATGCATGCTGAGAAAGTGTGGGCAGATAATTAAAACTAACCAACTAATTTAACTAATACAAAACTATATAATATTTGTCCCAAGACTTGAATCAGTAGACAGAAGAGGCTATAAAGATTTGGCCTGGGTCTTAAGGTCAGTAGGGTCTTGCTATAGCATAATTGGTTACAATACTTAATATTAATTTTGTAGCAGGGACAATAATAACAAAATACTATTTCTGTCCACACAAAATGATAATTCTGTAAAAATTCTGTGATTTGACCAAAATTACATAAATGGCCAGCATTATATATATAAATTCTGACCAAAATTAAATGTCAACTGGCATTATGTTGCACAAGAAACCTAAGTCTTGCCAAAAATCAATTTATAATGTTATGTGATCAGGGTAATTGGTATCAAATATTAGGGTGCTCTTATATAAATATAAAACTTCAGCTCAAAAACAATAAAAATTGCAAGATCTTTGAATCTTCATATAATATAAACAACTTTAATAATAAAAACAAAGAAATTGTAATAAAACAAAATTTTACTATCAGATGTCTATATATTAACTAGTTTTTAATAATTCCTAAAGCAAAAGTTGTACATTTTATTTTTATTTATTTTTTCCTTATATGTAAATATATATATATATGTGGAGTTTCGTCATGAATTTTGTCATTCATCATGAGTTTATTATTCATCACGGGTTTCATTATTTGTCACGGTTTTGTCATTCACCATTCATCTAATTGAAGCTACCAGACGAAATGGCTTCGTCATTTGTCTAGACAAAACTATTTCATCTTTTGTCAGACATTATTAGCTTAGACTAAAAGCAACAAATCTATAAGACAGATTTTTTTTAAAGTCATTTGTTTGTAAGTTATCCCTTAATCCGTATGTAAATTCGGGGCAAATTTGCCCCGAATTTTGTAAAGTAATTTTTATTCTACTTTTTTTTTTTTTTAATCTTCATGGGTTTTGTCATAGCTTGCTTTTTATTAAAATGTGTATAAGAACTATATACATTTAATTTATAGAACTCAGAGCCCA